AACACTACGTACAAATGCATCTTGGTATATAAAAAAAAGGACATGCATTTTTCAGTTTTTTCACTAAATACAGAAATTTGAAATGCTTAGACAATTTAACCTCTTAATGCTATTATTGGATAAAATTGATGATATGGCACAAAAGAATCTTTGTTGTGGCTATCAACCAGATCAAAAAAGTAATGATGTTTGGCAAATGGCATTGCAGAAATAGATACATAAAGTCCTAAGGATCTGAAAGGGCCTCACACCCACAACAAACTGAGAAATTTGTGAGCTTTGTAAAAAGTGCTGAGTTTCAGGCTTTCAGCGAATGGAAGAGAAGAAATAGGTACTAAAGTGTCATGGATCAAGAGGGACCTCAAACTTGAAAGGTTTAGCCAGGCTCTATTGACTTCTGTGGAACAACTTCAATGTTCTTGCTGAGATAGAATCTACTCTTTTCACCTTTATGGTAGGACTCTTCATCCACAAAAGCTAAAAGAAAGAAGCTCTACATTGTCTTCTAAGTTATATGCTTTAAAATATTAGCCTTGATTAGACTTCTATGCATTTTTCGACAGTCAACTGATACAATCTAAGATGAAACATTTTTGTTGAAATCTTGCCTAAGCCTATGTGCGTGCTTCTTTCGTTCACACATTATGATTAATAATGGCTAGTAAAATTATCTTTAGTCAATATGCTTTGCCTGTGTCCCCTAGCAATTGAGGACTTGGAATAAAAGCTTGAGTACCAAGGTACAAATCTCAACAGAGATTACGCTACTAGAATTTTTTGCATTTCCCTAAATTTTGATGGACATAATTATTCGATACTTGTAGAGCCGGTTGGAGATAGTAGGTACCTGGTGACTTAATCGAGCTGCGGTCTGCGTAGCCTGGCCTCACCATGTGTCTGTAAGGCACAATCTCGACTAGCGAACTTGCTCAAAATTAGTTGTTTGCTCACACTAATAAGATTGTTGTGTAATCAACTGGCAATGGAGTTTGATATTTTCACATTAATTAGAAAATCACTAGAAATTGTTTTGTTTTGTTTATTAGTTTTTAACCATAGGTATCACAAGAATTGCTCCTTGTTGGATTGCTTTGCACTTATGAATTGTGGAAACAAAGAGCTGCTGCTCAGCAAATGGCAGAGCAAAAATAGACGGCTAAAGTTCCCTTGTAATCTGAGGGACCTCAAGCTTAAAAGTCTTAGTTGTGCTCAGGTGACTTTAAGTGGAACCTACTCTTTTCACTTTTTCTCATGACTCTACCTCCAAAAACTAGTATTTTTTTGAGCATAGGAATCACAAGTGGATTGCTTGGCATGTATGAGCTGTAGAAAAAGTGTTGTGACTCAGCAAATGGCAGAGCAGAAATAGATACATAAAGTACCCACAGAACATGAGGGATCTCAAACTTGAAAGTTTAGCCTTTCCCTGGTTACATCTGTGGAACACAACAGGTCCAGGATAACTTCATGTTCTTGTGAGATGGAATATGCTCTTTTCACTTTTTCTTAAGATTCTTGATCCACAAAAGAATAAAGTAAACTGCTACGTTGTCTTTTAAACCATATCTATAGAATATTTGTTTGGATTATCCTCCAGGTGCAACTTTGACCCTCAACCGATACAATCTAAATGAGGAAGCCTTATTTGTGGATTTCCTTGGTTCACAACTTAACATAATATGTAAAACGACTTATAAAATTATCTTTAGGTAATATGGTTTTGCTCTCTCCCTTGACGTTGCGGAGTTGGGATGACAACCTTGGAAACCAAGGTTCAAATTCCAGCACAGATGACATTACAAAGATTTTTCCGATTTGCCTAAATCTTGGTGAGTGGAATAATTTGACACCCGTGCGGGTATGGGCGAGGGGGGTTCAAATCCCCTTCGCTGGAAAACTACATTCTATGTACACGGTTAAAATTATTTTGAAGTATATATAGTAGATGTTGAATTCTCTTGACTTCCTTCAGAATTTATCTCGTCATATCTTTGAACCCTCTTAATGAAAATCCCGGCTTCCCACTGAGTTGAGCATTTTGGACACCACCTTGTGTGTGTGTACGATAATCTCGAGCAGCAAATTTGCACAGAATTAGTCATTGACAGACAAGAAATAAGATAACTATATCTGGATTATGTTGTTGGAATCAACCAGGAATGCAGTTTGATATGTTCACATTGAATTAGAAAAATCATTAAAGGTTGTTTTGTTGTTTTAATAATTTTCTTGCATTGGAATCACTAGAATTGCTCCATGATGAATTGCTTGGCTCTTATGAGCTGCGGAAAAAGTGCTGATGTTCAGCAAATGGTATGGCATAAATAGATTGCTAAAGTACCCATGGAATCAGAGGGACCTGATCCAACTTGAAAGGCTCAGGAATAACTCAAACAATCTGAGTTGTTTGTCTGTTATTCTGGGTGGGAATAATATTGGCCGTGACACACCGATGAGTATTCTTTGTCTTTGTTAGTGAGTTGTGAGGTGGTTAAAGGTTCTTCTCTTCAACGAATAGCAGTGCAGAATTGGATACTAAAAGTACCCAATGATCAAAAAGGACCTAAAAGTGAATGTCCAAGCCATTTTTGGATGAAATTTCTTAGCCACAAAGTTCTTACCTCCTTGCACTTTCATCTTATTCCTTGATAAGCTGAAACTTGCCTGGTTACTTTACCAATGACTACTTCACATCAAAAAAGGTAAAAGTGTAATATGCTTTCTTTCTGCGTCTTGTTCAATTAATTGTGTATTCTGATTACTAATACTGTTGAGGGCTTGAGGCCATGAATACCTCCTAGTAGTATGCGTCACGGTTTACTGAGACTTGAAATCCAATGAATTGGACCACATGGATTGCTAAAGATAGCTGACCAATTTATTAACCTGCAAACAAGTATGAAGAGATCAGCAAGTATCATTATTGATAGTATTTCTTAGTGGTAAACTGTTTTGGTAGTAAATAGAGTACTACAGAAATAACCAAGCAAAATAATATTGGTCATGACACATTAATGAGTATTCTTTTTCTTTGCTAGTGAGTTGTGAGGAGGATAAAGGTTCTTCTGTTCAACGAATAGCAGTGCAGAATTGGATACTAAAAGTACCCAATGATCAAAAAAGACCTAAAAGTGAACGTCCAATCCATTCTTGGATGAAATTTCTTGGCCACAAAGTTCTTACCTCCTTACACTTTCACCTTATTCCTGGATAAGCTGGAACGTGCCTTGTTACTTTTTCAGTGACTACTTCACATCAGAAAAGGCTAAAGTGCAATATGCTTCTCTTCAGCTTAAGACTGATAAAAGGACATTGTCTTTTGATTACTGATACTGTTGAGGCCATGGAATACCTCCTCCTTAATGGTAAACGGCTTCGGTAGTAAGTAGAGTAGTTCAGAATTGACTGAGACTAATAAGTCATGTCTGCTTGATGTAGAAGGAGAAGATGCATCATAGACTTGGTGTTCTTCGTTGCTTAGGAGTGTAAGGTCTGTGCCCTAGAAAGACGGCCAACTATTTGCTTCTTAATAAGTTGAAGTAATTTATAATGATTTTGAAGTGGGAAGCTAAAAAATGATTACAAAGCAAAGTGATACATCACTTGTTAAGAAAACGTTAAGGAAAAATGTTAGTGATTCAATTAGGTCAATAAAATACTTTATCCAATCAAATTAATTAGTCACTAAAATTGAATTCGAAACTTGAATTTGCATCGTTGTTACGGAATAAAAAATTGACTTAGAACTTCATTGAAATGTTTTTTATTATGTTTGCAATTTTTATTCTCAATTCCTTTGTTCATATAAATGCTTGTTTGTGTTTATTTTTAAATTTACTTTCTCCATATCCGTCTCCTTCATTAACGTGTGATTTTGAATCGCACTTTGCGCTTAAAACCTGACCATACCCTGGTTGCTCTTCTTACCGTTTGCTTTTGACGACACCAGTTTTTTGAATCAAGTAATTTTCTTACTGCCAAGTGCTTTTAGTTGATTATATATAAACAATTAATGAAATAGATGATACATAGAAGTGAGAACTCTTTAGATTCCAAGATAGGAGGATCACTTTAGTAGTTGATTGACTTGATGCAAGGGAAAATACACATGATTGGTCTTAGAGATTTTTCATTAGTTTAACAGATGCCGTTCACCAGTCTCCTTGCTTGTATCGCCTTTAGTTTTTCCTTTCAGAACTGATAAAGTGCTTCTTTTTCTTGAGCAAATTACCTATTTCGTTTCTGATTACAAATTAGAAGCTGTATGTTTTAGTGGTTTTAGGGATATCGTGTACCTTGATTCTGTCCTTACAACTAAAAGCTTGATGATCATAGAAGTATTTTGCTTACGCTTATGTAGTACCATTTTCGGTAAAAATATTGTGCTTTCCTATCCTTGGAGAAGTGGACCTTATATTCTTTATCTTCAGTGATGGGATATTCATTGTACTAAAGGAGAATCTGGGAAGAAGCCCTGGACCAAAAGCAGTTATTGATGAACGTTATATGTCATCTAAAAGGTGTATGTTCCAACAAAAAGATGACCACAGGGAAAGCAGAAAGCAGAACTCAGCTTCAATTACATTGCACCAGCACACAACGTCATATACAGCCACTGAGCATCGAGAGGTCATCGGTAATTTTGCTTTTCCATTACTTGTGGCTGCACTGAGTTCTTTTAATGTGGAAAAGTTATATGCAGTCAATTCTTCTTTTCTTTTCTCTTTTTCGCTTTAGGCATCCAGTATCTATCTATGTTATAGGTAGGTCCACTAAGGAGGTAATCATTTCTTACTAAAAGTTTTTCCATTAATCCGAGGCTTCTGGTTAAGGGTTGTTGATGTCTCATCCATCCACCACACTCCTTGTTACTGCGGTCAATTCTTTGCTTCTCGCAGACCTAGTACTTTTTGTCTTGTTGGGTCAATCCCTTCACACTGGAGGAGCTGTTTCTTTACTTCTTCCAGAGAAAAATTGTACATATTGACTGCTGCGCGGTCTACAAGGAAGAACTCTTTTTACATATACAACAAAGCAGAGAATTTAACAAATCCTCTGTGGAAAGCTGCTGTAGTACATTTCCTATAGCCTTAGATCGATAATGACCTAAGAGATACAATATTAATTCTAGGTTTAGGGGCTTGTGGTTGATCTTCTCTTTGTTGCATTCAGAATGAAGGGACAATTCCATAATTGCTGTCTGTCATTAGTTGTGTGGAGAACATCTGGTCTACTTCAGCCTCTACGTCCGTTCTCTTTGCAAATCGGCCTTTGATTCTTGGCCTTGTTTCTGCATAGGCTTTTCTTGAAGCATACCTTATGGTTTTCTCAAATTTACGGTTCTTCTTCTTCTCTCTGTACCTTAGGACTCTGGCTTCTCTGTCCATTGGAGTAAGCTGGGGAGGTATCTGAATTGGAGGGCCTGAGAACAGATCGATGGTCCCTTTTGGAGGTCGTGGATGGGAATTTGAAGTTTCACTTTGTGCAGATTCTGGAACAACACTGACATCCATCGACGAAATGGAAACCTGATGATACATAAAGACAACAAAAACATGACTGGTCAACTTCCCTATTCGTGTATATCACCTATAAGATAATTACAGTTAACTTACTGTCTATAGAAAGTGAAATTAGCTATGTGAAAAAAAACATGTTAAAATACATGAATTGTAATTATTTTTATAATATTTAGTATATATAAGTTGATCCATAAAAATTTCCTTGGTCCATTTAAGAAAACAGACTAGCTAGACTAAAAGATTTATCCTAAGGATCTCCACATAAAGCAACAGCAACATCTGTGTGGAATGTCGCTGATTATTATTATTAACATAAACATGGTTACCTTGTGTTAAATCAAGTGTCAAAAGAAACCCAATGGACAAGCGGAAAAGGTGAAGATTCTTAGAATTTCCACCCTTGAGGATAAATTATATCAAAGTATCTTGAGAACATGGGTAAAAAGCGAAACAGTAACATACGTGAATTGGAGCAGTTTAAATGTTGTAGTGAATTACTATTTATAACTTGAATGCAGCGGCGGACCCACACCTTTAGGAAGGGGTGCACCTGCACCCACTAACTTAAGAAAAAATCAAGCATATCTATTTTAAGAAACTGACAGAAACTAGATATAATTAATTGTGCACCAATAAAGCATAAGAGTGACCTTGTGCTACTGGTACAAGTTAGAGAAATCACCTCTGGACATCTTTGTTTATTTGGAAAAGAACATAACTTGGGAAAAGTTTAACACAACAAAAGTTCAAGGGCCAATTTAGGTATGTAAAGGTAACAATAATAGCAAATGGACACTTAAAATGACAAATTCTCTGTTGAAAAAGGACGAAGTGCTGGAAAAAGTAATTCGGAAGTTAAAAAACTGAGGTTGCACAGAGTTGGTGTCTTTGTAGACTAACTCAAAAAGTGAGGTATATCGATACAGTGAAGAAAACTTACACTGTGACTCAAAGAAGCAGGGTAACCATATCCAGTGTTAGAATTGTCATACTCCATTCCAAGCTGAAAATTCAGGTGGTGACTTTGTTGTTGTTGTGGCGTTTGGTAAAGAATCAGAGATTTTCGCTGTCCGTTCTGAACTGGCACAACACTATCTTCAACATAGCTCTTCTGAGGAACAGAGTAATGTTGTTGCTGCTGATTAACACTGTACTGGTCGTTAAATTGACTGTCCCCTCCATACTCTGCAAGATCCAAGTAATCATCCACTACTTCTCCACCAAACAACATCCCATAGTTGTTATTCTTATTGTTATTCTTAACAGGAGGATTCAACAACAACCATGAAGCTGCTTCATCTTCATCTTCTTCATCTATGGTTGTATCATCTGCATCTTGATTCAAACTCAAGAATCCATCATCCTCGGTGCCTTCCCCTGTGGTCCCACCAATCATCATAGAACCACCGGTAATGGTGTGAACAGCTGGAGGACCATAAATGGTTCCTGGATATTTGAATCAGAGATTAATTTAGAATTTAAGTTTGATGGATTCAATTTTTACATTTTTGAAATTATGGTTTAGAAGTCGTATTTATTGAACTTTTTGTTATTTTTAACATGGAGTACATCATGTTGTGTGTGAAAAAAGAATTGGTGGCTACCTGGAATGGGCATAATTGGGACACGGTGGTGACGACGTGCCAAGGGGTTTGCAGAGTGAATGTCAGCGTCGCAAGAGGCACAAAGCGAGGCAGCATCCGCTTTGCAAAGAAAGGCTGCAGGGGCACGCTCGCAGGCTTCGCAAACCCATACACGCTCGTGGCGAGAAGCCATGAGACTTGCTGTATGAATGCGGGCATCACAGCCCGCACACAAATAGGCGGAATCCGCCCGACAGTAAACGGTACATGTTGCGGAATGGCAACTGTCACACACCCTTGCCCAATTGTTACTGTTCTCTTTTTTCAACATTGGACTAACTTTAGTTTTCTCTTTTCTTTCTCTCTATTTTGTGTTGTAAAAAACTTGTAGTTGGAGCACTGAAGTTTAGCAGGAATGCTGGAGACTTATGGAGCACTGTGAAATGTGAAGGGGCTGAGGAGGGAAAATGACAATTAGGCAACTACCAAGTGGGGAGAGAATCCACAGGTGACACGTGGAGAGAAGTTAATGGGTAAGAAAAGTTGTTTCATTATCTTGTGGTGGCTGGTGATTCTGGTGGGGTCGGTTGAACAAGTGGGTCCAGAGGCCTTTGGCTTTTGGAATCAATTGAGGTGGGAGAGGTTTGTCCAAGAGATTGCCTTCTTGGGGGAGACTAGAGAGAGTTCAACTCTATTTAAGCATTTTTATTACAATTTCTATAAATACTCTTCATATTTTTTTAAATATACAATATGTTCCTGTTTTCATATATTTATATCAAAGACTATATTGACACATTTCTCATCGGTGTTACTGTACGTGTATAAATCAATATATATTGATGCACAATGGTGTATGCAAGATTTTGTATAGATAGTACCAGCCTATTATCACAGTTCAGCGTGTAAGTGATTGTGTTTAAGACATGATGACTTAACAATTAATTTCTTCTTCCAAATGTGCTTTTTATCTGATTTAGATTTATCGTGTAAGATTTAGATTGTTAAAAGAAAGAGTAATGCTCCATTGATGTAAACAATCCAAGTCAACTAGAAGAAAAAAAATTAGTAAGCCATTAATTCATCGAAGAAGTAATATTTTGAGAACGTTAATTACGAAACTGTATGTAAATAAATGCATTGTTTTAAAATTTAAAGCGGTATAAATATTATGTAAGGAATGGGACATCCATTGCAAAAAAGTTTGAAACTGAAAGCTGGATTCTTGATTTCCCTTTTTCTTTTAAAGCCATCCGATCTTCGAAAGGGTAAGGTTCAATTTTGCCTTATTACGATGTAAATTAGATTAATTTTATCTTCGAAAGGGTAATGCTTCTAACAAAATTTTCTCCATTACCTAGGGCTTGATTTCGAGATCTTTGTTTAAAGACGAAGCACTTCCACCAGTGCGCCAAAATCCGTTGATTATTGGTGCAAATCTCTTCACTTCTGCTTCCACCATTGGCACCTTGTCAAACACGACTAAAGAGTGTGTTTGCATTGACTTAAAAGTTGATTAAATGAAAAATATAAAAAAATAATTTAAAATTAGTCAAAAATGACTTATAGTGTTAGGCAAGATCAAAAATTACTTAAAATAAGTTAAATATTAAATGTAGGTCTTTTCTACTTTTTATTTTAAAAGTTATTTCAATTTGACTTTTCATTGTTAATTTAAAATCTACTTTTTAAAGTCAATTTAAACTAGCTTAAGGTTACGAAGAGGATTATATGTAAATCTTTTAAGAACCCATAAGTGTAATTTAATACAAATGGTATAACGGAGAAGCAAACCTTTGTAAATTGTTATCAGGTAGCCACTTTTAAGACTGCTAATTAATATGACGGACATTTATAATGTAATTGAAAAATAGTCATACCACTGTCTATTTTTCTTCTCCTTCAAAACATTGTTCTATAGTTTGAAATTCTTTTTACGCGTGAAAAGCTTCAGCTTAGTGAAGTTGTCATTCTTGAATTCAAAAATAGTAATGCACTTATTTTCTTAGAGAGAATTGATTTTGTAGATTAATCATAACTTTTTACGAGGGAATTTTAATTTTACACACTCCAAAATTATTGTGAGAGCACATGCCCAGGATAGACACTACAAATGCTGTGTACTGTTACCAATTCCTAATGCACAGGAGAAAAAAAATGTCAGCGTCAGCTCATTCATTTTTGTTGTCCTTGAAAATACTCATGTTTGTTTAGGATAAACCCAAAAATGTATTTTGTGTCGAGAGACCTCGTGGCTGCTGCTCAGTCAGACATTAACACAACTAGTAAAGCTGAGTCAGATGTGTCTTGTGTAAGAATTTCACCCAATGGGTTGCTGCCAATTAAGATCCACCCTTAACCACAAGTTTTAGTGGGCTAGAAATCAGGGCCCAATTCACATGGATTTTGGGCCCAGTTGAAAGGTACAGCCGCAATCAAAAACTTGATGAGATGAACAATGGCATTCCTAACCCCAAACATTACTGGCCACTACTCTAATATCCTCAGCTTTGCATTTATTAGATTTGGATTTGCTGTCTTAATCATCTTCACAATGTTAGATAGACATGAAATTTTAAGAGCTACACACTCACACTCCTGTTTTATATTAGTTGATCATTTTCTTTTATTCGTACATTAAAAAAAGATAATTTTACTAATAAACATGAATACTTTAAAAATTAACTAGTTGTCAGAGTAATACGAAAAAAAAACTTTTGTAGTTTAATAAAATAGACGATTAATATGAAATGATCAATTAATATAAAATAACTGAGTATATTTATCTTTCATCCCTAGCCATTTATCTCAAAATGACTTGCATTTTCATTTGTCAGTTATTGATAGCTTTGCGTAAATCAATTGATGACTAGCATACAGATTGTCAGTCAATCGGTCAATAAGCAACGTTTTGACCATCCTATTTCCAATTCAGTTCCTCAACTGAGCTCATTGTTGACCAATGGCACTTGCAATATAGTAAAATAGAAATCTTTCAAAAACTTGCTAAATAAGCTATAAGCAACCTTAACAATTTGCACGTTCATCGTCGCAAACCTACAAATTCTGAAGTTCTGAATTTACCTTTTTAAACATGCATCATTGTTTTCTTTTATGAATTTATCTAAGGAGTCGTTTGGTTGAAAACTAGCTATTTCAGGATAAGGATGATTTATCCCATCATGTTTATGGGATAACTGTTGGGAAAAACAAGGCACTAACAAAGAATGCCTGACAGGATAACAGCGGAAGAATACCCAAGTCTATACTTTCCCTTTTCGATTTGAACCAAGAGAAAACAAACAACCACAAGCAATATGATAGTAAGGCAGCAAGTAATTCAACCAAACAAATATAACAAGGCAATGATAAACCAATCACACAAGATACCAAGATTTACGTGGAAAACCCTTCGATGTGAAGAGTAAAAAACCACGGGACCAAAAGCTCCACTATAATCACCAAGAGTTACAATATTGTTCTCCAAAATTGGCCACAAAACAAAGTGTCAAACAACGAGCAACAACAAAATAAGATTGCACCAAATCTAGAGAATTAAAGGAGCAAAATCACCAATTTCGCAACTACTGTTCACGACAGCAAAACTGAAGCTGCAGACCACCAAATCCAACTCTGTCAGTTCCTAATCAAAGACTGAGATGAAGATAATATGCTGTCCAAAAATCAGCTCAATCGGACAAGAAACGAAGCGGGAATCGCAATTTGAAGTTGGTTGTTATGGCTGGATTTTTAACTGCGAATTTCTCTCTTTTTTCTCTCTTTTGGCTGCTGAAAAACTCTCTCTAAAAAATCTGAAAATAAGACCTAAAATAGGCTTATATTTGCCTCATAAGAATGGGCTTATGGACAAAAATGGGTTGGTCCAAATTGGGCTTTTATTTATCCACATAGGAAGGGAAAAAAGACCCATAACCCAACAATAACTTATCTCATTTTTATGCTATAAATAGTGGGATGAGTTATCTCTAACATGTCAACCAAATAAGACATTTAAATAATTACTCCTCTTCTATTTCACGGCATATGTTGATAGCATCCAAAGTTAGAAATTTTATTAAAAAATTTGAAGTATAAAATAATACGTATTTTTTACAAATAAAATATGTAGTACATTTCTTTTGATTGATTAAGTGTAGTTGGAATGAATCTAACATTCTAACTCTGCCCCTTAACCGACAGTGTATATCTATTACAAGTGGAGCTTAGGCACATGGGAGTTTCATGTACTATACGAGTAGTACTTAAAATGAGCTAGGACCAAATATTACTCTCTCTCAATATATATTCATTTATTTATCTATAGTTCACATAAATATTAGTGAAAAAAAAATGTCAGGAGCACAGCCAAGGGGATGTCTAACACCAACTACCTATGAATCAGTTGATGAGAAGAAGCCTAGAATGAAAGTGAAGCATTCAAATTGAGAAAGCCTAGTGCCTCGTGCTATGTTTTTTCAACACGTGATAAAGAAAATTTATACAGTGGTAATAATTGTCAATATATATGAAATAATCCAAAGTTGGTAAACAATGATTCCACACTTGCTTTAGTCTACTTTATTTAAGAACAAGCAGCCCTTTCACATTATTAGTCTCCACTAGGTTATTGGATGTAGAATTTTAGAAGGAAGAAAGGACTTGATATACTACTTAATCTTGTCCAATAGAGTTTGATATATGCTTCATTTCTTATACAAATGGTTTACGTATATTTTTATCAATTCACCAAAATTACTATCTTACAAAAATACTATAAACTTATTTGACAATAAATTTTAAGTATTATTTTATTTAAAGAATTTATGACAAAAACACAAATAGTTCACAGAATAAACAGACATAAAATGCTTTAAATACGTTTTATTAATTCGTTACTCACACAAAATGTTTTTAACAAATACGTTTTATTAATTCGTTATTCACAATCAAGTTTCTAAATTAAAAAATGCTACTGACAATAACGACTCCAACTTAGTCCTGTCTAAGAGGTTTGAGTGGAATATAAAATATAAATTAGTATTAGGAATATTAAGTAAGAATATAACTGAAAAAAGTTAAATAATAATGAAAACACACTAAATTGATTGTTTAATAAAATGAGATGCTTTCATCATTACATAACAACAAAATTTAACAACGTAATATAATACATTTTTAATAACAATTAAAATCAACATTATATCTATGATTACAATAGAATAGAAAACAATAATCTAAACAGAGTATGAATAAAAAATAGTGTTTCTTTTTTTGGACAAATGAATATATATATCACATGAATAGTGCAAAAGGAGTATGTCTGCCTAGGCATCTAAAGGTGCATCCATGGCTTCATTAAATATTGGGCTTTGGGCATTTGAATGTGTGATTTTTGATAGCAGGCCGTTGGAGAGAAATTGGCTGGGTTGAACGTAATATGGGCCATTTGAGTCCGGACATGGGCTTTGGCTTTGAAATCTTTTGCAGCCCAATTCTAGGCCCATTTAGTGGCAAATTACGATAAACTTTAGAAATCACATAGTTTCAACGAAAAATTACTTATATAAACACTTTAACTTTGCTTAATTTCCATTTATCCCTACCTTGTTTAAAATTTTAGAACTCCCTTAATTCCTTCAATACATAAAATCTTCCAGACACATAAATATGTCACTTCTATTTTCAGCGTATATCCACTTATCTCATTCTACATTTTATTCCTTCATTTTATCCCTAAATTCTCTCCACTTCTTTAGCATTTACAAAATTTAAATTTATTTTGATTTTCAGTAGGTATTAG